TGGTTAAAACTTTCAAGGAGATAAAGGGAGAAATAGTAACTATATAAAAAGAACAGATATCAGAGGGAGATATTCATCCAAAGTGAACAGAACTATCTAGAACTTTTGGAAATGAAAGTTAAAGGCATTAACATTGGGTTAAAAATCAACAGATGGGTTATTACAGTAAGCACAGCGAAAGAAAGAATTAATGAATTAAAGCCCCATGGTGAAGCACAGAATAAAGGAATTAAGCATATGAGAGAAAAGAGATATAGATGATTGAGACACTCCACCCAACTTATTATTAGTTTCAAAAAGAGACACTGGAAAGAGTGACTAAGCTTATTCCAGAAATAAGGCATGAATTTCTAGATTTAAGAGGCCCAAAAACTGCCTAGGTGACATCTTTCAAAAGAAAATCAAAATTACATCTAGACACCTCGTAGTCAAAAGTGAAGAACGTCGAGAGTAAAGAAGAAATTCTAAAAGCCACCAGAGAGAAAAGAGAGCTTATCTACCAAGTTCCAATAATTGAACTGACAGTAAACTTCTCATCAGCAACAATAGATGCCAAAAGACAATGGAACTGTATCGTCAGAGTGCTGAGGGCAAATAATTGCGAGCCTACAATCCTATATCTTGCCAAATTGTCATTTAAATGAAAGGGAAAAATAATGACATTTGACACATACAAGATCTTGGAAAGCTCCTGTCCCATAGACCTTTGCTAAGAGAGAGAAACAGGAGCTTGAAGGGGATGGGGAGGCCCTCTAAGGAGGGCAGAGGCTCACGGGTATGTGGGAGGCTGGGGTGTTTCCGGGCTGACCTCAGCAGCAGACGATAGGGGAACCCAGTCTGGTCCAGCTGGGCCCTGGCTCAGGTTCTTCCCTCCTGAGTGCTAGCCATGCTATGGTCCTTCCCCTCCTGAAATGTGGTAGTGGCACCTGTTGGTCTTGGGGCAGGAGGGATGTCCAAGTTGCTTATTTGAATAGGTTCTTGATTTCCATCCTTTTGGAAGGTCAGAGGGGATCTTGTAGAGGCTTGTGGGCAGCTGGAACTGTGGGACAAAGATTCCTGCCTAGGAGTTGGTGGGAAAGGGGGCTTACATTCCCTGGAGGGAAAGAATCGTAGAGCCAAGTGTGCACTGCATTGGGTGGGCCACTGGGGATGAAAGGCTGCTGGGAGCATCTGGTCCAACCATCCCCCACCCCACCACTGCCAGGCAGCACCCTTACCTCTCTGTCTGCCTATAAAATAGGGATAATACCTACTTAATGAGGGTGTGGAGATAACATGAGAATCCACTGAGGTACCATGCTTAAGAATATACTTTTGGGGGGACGAGCAGCACATTGGTTCAACTGGACAATCCTCAACCTCCAAGCGTGGCATCCCATAAGGGCACTTGTTCATGTCCTGGCTACTTCACTTCCCATTCGGCTCCCTGGTTATGACCTAGGAAAGCAGTGGAGGATGGCCACAGCCTGTACACACATGGAAGACCTGGAAGAAGCTCCTGGCTTGAGATTGGTTTAATTCTGGCCACTGTAGCCACTTGGGGAGTGAACCAGCAGAAAGATCTGTGTCTCCTCTCTGTAATCTACCATTCTAATAAAAACAATCCTTCAAAAAATATACTTTCCAACCCAGAACTTCCTTAAAAGAGCAATCTCCATCTAACAGCCCTGCCTAGCACATTGTTAGATCTCAAAACTGTGATCAGAAGAAGTGTGAGTGTGCTGATGGGCACGGATGGCACATGTGTGGGATACACTGCAAGGAGGGCATGGGCCATTTCGTCTCTCTTCAGTAACTGTTACCCTCTTGGTGCCAGGCACAGTGCTGGGGCACTAAACATGTGGTGACAACCCCAATGGAGGCCCACCTGTGAGGAAGACCACTCAAACCAGGAAATTCTGAGGTCCAGGGGGTTTCTTCAAAGCCTGACTTGGGATTGTGTTTCTTCTCTCGCCCGTTCACACCCCCAGCCCAGTTGTCCACGAGCTTACAGCCCGTCTGGCCGCCTTCTTCTTCTTTTTTTTTTTTAAAGATTTATTTTATTTTTATTGGAAAGGCGGATATACAGAGAGGAAGATCTTCCATCCGATGATTCACTCCCCAAGTGAGCGCAACTGCCGATGCTATGCCGATCCGAAGCCAGGAGCCTCTTCCGGGTCTCCCACATGGGTGCAGGGTCCCAAAGCTTTGGGTCATCCTTGACTGCTTTCCCGGGCCACAGGCAGGGAGCTGGATAGGAAGCGGGGCTGCTGGAATTAGAACCAGCGCCCATATGGGATCCCAGGCGTGCAAGGTGAGGACCTTAACCACTTGCGCCACCGTGCCGGGCCCCCGTCTGGGCTTCTTAAAGTTAGTCACCATGTCCAAAGGCTCCACCATGCATGAGGTGGGACCCGACTGTGGGTGTGAGCTCTAACAGAGGTTGTAGAAGTTGCCTGGGAGGATGAAAGAGTCTTTCCTGACTCTGCCTCAGGAATCGGAAATTTCTCAGCGAGGGCCATTTAAATTGGCCCTTGATGGATATATAGGAGATCAATAAGTGAGAAAGGGAGTAAAAGGGTGTTCCAGGAATTGGGGCCAGCACATTCGGAAAACATGGAGGTGAGTTCAGAAACCAGTGAGTAATTGGGTGTGACAGGAGCAGAGTGCAGGGGGTGGAAGGCAGACTGGACAGATCTGTAGGACCTTGAATGAACTTGGATGTCTGGAAAGTGGAGAGGGTGGCGTTTCCATTCCTCTCATACTGGGGAGCTCCTGCTTTCAAAGGAAGGTCTTTGCAGGAAGGGGGCTAAGGAATTGGTACCCATTGAGAAAGGGGTTCACATACTCCTGTTGGCTCCTAGAACTGTCTCAAGTCAGGACCAGTGGGATAGGGCCCCTCCCAGATTCTCAGGAGAGAGCTGCCTGCTGCCCCCTTGTGGTCCTGGCAAATCTGAGCATCAAAGAAGCCAGAAGCCAAGCAGGGGTCTCCAATCTCCAAACATCCCAGCCTCCTGGAAAATTATTCCAGCCCTTAGTTGTGCCCAGATGCGAACCAACTGCTTTATTTATTCCACATATACACAAGGCTGGTCCAGTGGTTCAGGGTGGCTGAGTACACGGAGACATTTTTTTCTGAAACACACAAACACACCACATATGGCCACTGAGCCACGATGTATGTGCATGGGGTCAGGAGACCAGCATTTGTGTTTCCTAATTTGTAGTGTGACCTTGGGCCTCCCATGCCTCTGTCTGTAACACAGGTATCATGATCCAACTTCCTGTCTCCTCTGCAGGGTCACTGAAGATCATTAGGAGGTCGGATGCTGCAAATGCTAGAAAAAAACGTTTAAAGAGCGCTCCGGATGTAAGGGGATCTTGCTGGGTATTAGATAGGGGCTGTCTTGGGCTGCACCAAAGGGTTTGTTTACACTGGGATGGGCCTTGTTGGCAGGGCAATTTAAAGGGAACGTGCTCAGCTGGGCAGTTGGCGTACCAATCACAACCCATGGCAATCACTCCAAAAACAAGAAACAGGGACTCATTGAGAGTCTTGCAATCCCAGGCATGCCCAGAGAAGCAGCAAAGTGCAACAAACGGGGCTGGAAAGACACAGCCTGGTTTCTGCCCCTCTCCTCCCAGCATACCCCTGTCCCCCGTTTACACGTCTTCTCTCCTGCATTCCCTGTGCATGGGGACGGGCACACAGCTATCAGTAATAACTTTACAGTGCTTGTATATATCAAGAAAACAAGCTATGCATGGATTTCCAAGCACATGGGGCTGCACCAGACTCACTGTTAGAGCAAAGAGACTTTATGAGGTCTCACGCTGTGTCGCCTGCTTCACCCACCCTGGTGATACTGGAGGGGTATCATACATTTGGTTAATTTTTCCTCCTTTAGTGTGTATCCATGCCCTTATCTTACTACTCTTGCTTTAGTTGCCAGGAAGCTCAAGGTCAAATAATTCCAGTATCTATGGAGATCTCTGGGGCCATATTTGTGATTTGTTTTCTGTAATTCTGATTTTCTACTCCATTACATTTTTCCTCATTTTAAAGTATTGTTTCATTATGCTGTTTTAATTCCAGACCATGTCGATTTTCTTACAGCAATGAAGGTACACTTAAGTCATGTCTACGTACTTCTAGAAGCTGCCAGCATTGAGGACCATCTCACCCCAACAATTTGGGGAAAAAAAGGGCACAACTGGCCACACCTGAATCTAGATAAGCCATGCACACAGATCCAAGCTATGTGGCGTCTCCTGGCAGGAACAAAGAACACAGGTAGGAGTGTTACTCATTGCTCCTGCTCTACCCCGTGGTTTCTAGTGGAAGGACACATGGTGAGGGAACCATGAAAAGCCTCAGGTTCAGACCTGATGTCATGGGCTACTGACCCCGCCTAGCCCCCTCCACGATCCCCAAGACAGGGCAGCTGTCCAGGTTATATGGCAAATGAATACCTCCTCTCCTTGGCACCAGGTTCACTGTTTTCCCTGTCACAAGGTTGGCTCAGCCCTGGCCTTTAGGGTACAGAAAGAAGTGGCATCTCTACTTTTCCCATTTCACAGAACAGGAAGCAGGCCTGGCTGTTGAAGACTTTTACTTGCTGGCCTGGGCTGCCCTCTCTGAGAGATGTCACAGTGATGGGCATGGCCACTACAGGTACCCGGAGTGCCAGGCAAGACTTGAGGGGATTTCTCGGCTGCTCCTTTGCAGTTCAGGGCCAGATTTCTCCTTGACAGATGCCCCCTTGGCCTCAGCCAAGCAGGACACAGCTCAGCCCAGTTCAGTCAGGTTGGCAGGCACCTCTGTGCAGTCAGGGTGCCAGTATTTTAATGGGGTTCACTTTTATGAAAACCCAGCTGAGGACTCAGTGTGGATCACACATGTAATGTAAGCTCCCTTAGCTCAGGACCCCCACCCTGAGGATAACTAACAGCGCCCTTTGAGCTTTTCTCCAACAAGTGTACCCAGGAATGCCTCTGGACACAGAAACCCAGACTCTATGTTATCTAAAATGAGGTTTATTGCATTTCATGCAGTTTGAAGTCCATGCAGCAGAGACTGGCACAATTTTTATTGCAGGTTAAAATATAAAATAAAGGGAGGGGGCAGCAAGTGCACCGAGTTCTAGTCTCCTCGGGTCCTTGGTGGAGAAACATGTGGGAATGAATCCACCCACTCTCCATGGGGAATGAGTTCACCTCTCAAATGCAAGCCTGCTTCCCTGGCCTCCAGATGCGAATGCCCAGAGCTCAGGGATAGCAACGCTCACCAGAGACGCTTCCCGCGTCCACCTAATTCAAACTGAGGGCAAGCAGGTGGCAAACCCTGGGGAGCAGAGGCTGTTCCAGGAGTGAGGAAATGCTTCCACCCCCAGATTTGCTCTCACAAAGAAGTGGCAGTAAGAACCAAAAAAAGAAACCAAGGAGAAATATGTCTTCAAGAAATGCCATAAATATGTTATTTAATATTTTCATTTCATAGCATTGGACACACAGCTCAACGTAATGAAATACTGATTCCTTGGAGAAAACAATGGAAAAAACAGGAAATAAAAAATATTGCATTTCTCTGTTGGAGGATTTCTGCCCCCAGGCGTGGGGCGTAGTGCACCAGTGCCCTAAGCCTGCAGGAGGCGCTGAGGTCTGCTGGTCCTCTGGGGAGGGAGGCTGTGTCCAAGGCCCAGGGCTGGGTGGCAAAAATGGTGTCAGGTGTCCTTGGTTTTGCCAGCTCAGGCCCTCAGTCGCCGGTCACCTGGGGGGCCTGCCCGTCGGAAGGCTGGTTGGCTGACTGGATGAACATGGGCTGGGCGAGGTCCTGGCCTGCGGGCATGGTGACTTGCTGGATCTGGTAGAGCTGCTGTGAGGGGTGGAAAGGAAAAGAGTGAGGTCTGCTCTGGAAGAGGGGCATGCAGCTTCCTGGGGGCCTCAAGCTGTTCACCGTCCCCAGATACCTCAAAGTTCTCCCCACTTTCCTCCCCACTGCTCAGCATCAGAGGGAGGAGGGGTTATGTAGCAAACAAAACAGGGCAGCAACCTGGCGGGAGGAGAGTGTTGTGGCAGGCAGGGACACAGGGCAGGGAGCTGCATTTCCTGCAGCTTTCACCAAGTGAGCTCTCCTCTGATGTCAGGTCAGCCTCAAGTTCCCTACATGCTGCTCCTCTGTGACAAACATAAGCAACCTGAAGCACTGAGGGGGCAGCTTGGAGTCCAGGAGCTCCCGAACCTTTGTTGAGCCTCCCTGGGAGGGGGCAGGAGGACTGCTCCTCGCCATTCCTCAGTGTATCTGGCTCCAACCTCTGAAGTGAACGGGCCTCTCCCCGTTGGGCACTTGATGACAAGGTGGCCTGGTATCAGCAATGTACTAGAGCCCAGGCCAGAAGGAGTGGAGAAGACGCCCACAGAGCCACGCACGAAGGTCAGGGCAACCTGGCCACTTGCTTTTTCAGGTGCCCACCCCCCGGCTCTAAACTAGAGTCAAGACCGCACCACAGGAGCTCGTTAGGCAGGACCAGCACCCAGTGCTGGAGGATTCTGACACCTGCTCTTCTCCCTTTTGGGTGGCAGAGAGCAAGTTTAGGAATGTCATCCTGTCACTGGGACGACACTGAGGAGAAGAAGGAAGATTCCTGCCTTGGGTGCCATCCCGACTGCTGGAGTCTGGGCACCAAGTGAACTTAAGGAGGCATGTTTCCTTTGCATTTGCACTAATCTCTGCCATTAAAAAGTGTCGGTGCTTACGGGAAAAAAATCTTGCTGAAGAAGGAAACAGGAGTCTTTGTGTTCAGTCCTGCCCTGAGTGTCATGCACAAGGCACTACTTTCCTTTAGGGCTCAGTATACCCATCTGTAAAATGATAATCAGGACCATACAACATCCAGGATTTTTCACTCCTACCAGTCTATACACCTAAAGGACAGGTGCCATGATTAAATGCTAGTTTTTGACCGTATCTACAAATCATACTGAATGTTAAAAAATTAGCTGAAAATTGATATGTAAAAAGTGCTTTTTGTTTTAACCACTTCCATCTACTCACTGTTAGTTAGGGATAGGGCAGTTGCCATAACCACCCTAACCCAGAGCCCCTTGGCCCCCAGCCCTGCCCCGCCTACCTGTCCATCAGTGAACTGACTGAACTGCTGCTGTCCTTGCTGGACCTCTGTCTGTGTGATCTGTAGGAATTAAGACAGCAGGGCAAGCATGTCAGTCACGGGATCTGGCCCAGCCGTTCAGCACCCTGGAGGTCATAAAGGTCCAAGGAGATGGCGAGGCCTATGCAGTGTCCCGGTGGGCTCTGGCTCAGCATCGCTGCCCCACAAGGAATAGGAAAGCAAGTGTCGCTCTGGACAGGAAGCTGGCACCCCCATAGGTACACAAGAACCCCATACAGTACATAATGATGACTCCCACACCCACCTCTCTTCAGGTCCCTGCTTACCACCCCCACTCACCTCCAGGCCTGAGGTTCAGAGAAAACACCTCACTCCTAGACGCTAACGTGAGGAGGTGTATCATTTCTGGTTTCGGTAGAAGCCCTAGGGTCTGTCTTTGAGCCAGTCAAGTGCAATACACTGGGCAGAGTGGTGAGCTGTCTCTTCCATTTTTGGAAGGTGGGCTGCAAACCAAACTCTTATCACCCAGATTATCTGACGGGAATATGAAACACCCTGGCGGAGAAGCGGCCTTGGCCCTGGCAGTCCTCATGGAGAGCTATGAAGCACTTTTTTCCGAAAGGCAACTGGCAGTTCTCTGGGCCAAGCAAGGGGAGGAAGAAGGGGGAGTGGAGGGAGTGGGAGTGGCGAACAGACAAGGAAAACAATTATCACAGGCATTTAAAATCCCATGTGGGGATTGTAAAATACATCAACTGACATGCAGAGCGGCACCATCTAATGACAACTGCCAGGCGCCCAGCTTGGAGAATCAGAAAGACTGGAGGGTCTATCTATGGAACATCTGACTAGCAAAGTCTTCTGGGTACTGTGTCCTGGAATCATTCGCTCAGCCTGCAAGGTAAGGACTGTCCTCAAATGTCCTTATGAGGTCAAAAGCAACCCCTGCAGGCCTCCCTGTAAGGCTATGAGGAACAAGAAAGGGACAGGTGTGAGGGGGCTTCATGAAAGCCAGACTCTTATTCTTAATTTTCATTTCTTCCCTTTCTACCAGTCTACAAGTTAGGAAGGAACTATATTCTTTTCTTACCCTTCTCGCAAGTACAATCTACTCTCCAGTAACGAAGAAATATCTGCAGAATAGATGAATGAACTGGAGACAATGGCAAGAGCTTCTTAAAGACAGGAAGGCTAACTATGTCCTGTGGCCAAATAGGACTGTGGTTCAGAAGAGCCAAGTTTCATTTAGATTAAATCCACTTACATCCACAGTTTTAGGAGGCTCTTGGAAGATGTGTATTTATGCAAAAACTAAGCATAGTTTTCAAAAATTATTTTTTTGCACCAAAATGAACTCATCTCTTAATTCCACACAAACTTGTCATAAGTTTGTAATACTCATTCAACATACATTTTCTGAGCACTTACTGCCTGCCCGGTTGTCACCATTATGTAGTTGTTAGCTAGAGTTTTAATTGTTCCCAGTACCCCCTTCTTGCTTCTCCTCCCCTGTCCCCTGCTTTCTGGCTTTAGTTCTGTTCTCAAAACTGACCTCTGCAAAACCAAAAACCCTTCCTTCTCATTTCCTCCTACTCCTATGTCACAAATATATTTTTGAATCCCAAGAAGAAATCTTACAAGGTTTAAAAAAATGGGGCAGGAGGACGGGCTCCAAGAGGGTCGGTAGTCTTACGTAGGGAATCAGTGTGTTTCCCCAGGAACCCACACAAAAGCCCAAGTCTTAGGAGAGCCACGGGTGGGCGGGAAAAGGGCCCTTTAACGACCCCAGAGGCTACATGGAACTGAGCAGCCCTGCTTATGGTGCACTCCTCATATTTCCCAAATGAGATCTTTGGAGACCTGCTCTACAAACTCAGCTCTGTCACCCCTGTCAATAGATACATCACCAGAAATGCAACTGGGCCAGACGGGTCCAGCTCTTAAACGATTGCTGCTTTTTTTGGGTCTGAGGCAAAAGAATCCATTAACAGTGCCTCCCCTAGACCAGAGACTGGCAACCTCTTCAAATGTCTCCCATGTCCCTCACCCCTTGAGTCCGGGGAAGCAGCCTCCTCAGCATCAGAGAGGACAACTGTTCTGGTTAGGGACTCAGAGGAGGTGTGGGCTTAATGATGGAGCCTCAAGGGACCTGCACCATGTGTACTAGGCTAATTGTCCACCTGCAATGCTGGCATCCCAGTGGGGCACAGGTCTAAGACCCAGTTGCTCCACTTTTGATCCAGCTCCTTGGTTATGGCCTGGGAAGGCAAGAGGATGACTCAAGTCCTTAGATCCTTGCACCCACATGGGACACTCAAAAGAAGCTCCTGGACCTGGCTCTGGACCAGCCCAACTCTGACTGTTGCAGCCATTTGGGAATGAAGAAATGGATGGAAGATCCAGTTTCTCCTTCTCTGTAAATCTGCCTTTCAAGTGAAAATAAATGAATGTTAAAAACAAAACAAAACAACAACAAAACTCAGAGAGACTGAGTCTGCTGCCAAGGCAGTACCACATGTTTCCTCCACTGCGACGTGCTTAAACACCACAGGCTTCTCCACGCTACTCCTGAGGCTCCTCTGCCTCTCATGATTCTCTGCTCCTCCAGAAGAAGCAGAAAGACACACGTTAAGTTCCACTTTTCAACTGCTCCCATCTGTCCCTGGGGTACACATCAGAGCAAGAGGGGGCAGGATAGAGGTGAGGACTGTGTGCTTAGTACTCTCTCCAGGCAGAAGCCAGCTACAGCCCCAGGTCTCCAGAATACCTACCTGCTGGGCATTGGTGGCAAGTGTCTGGATCTGTCCCTGCACGACCTGGGTGCCTGAGACCGGCTGGGCTAAGCGGATATACTGCAGTTGGCCAGCATTCAGCTGCACCTAAGGCAGGGCAGAGACCAAGAGACCACAAGAGGCTAAGTGTCACATGAAACAGATGGTGACTGCCCCCCAATCCTCTGGGTCCTCCAAAGGAGCCTACTTTTAAAAAGCCCTTTGAAACACAAGTGAAAACAAGCAAGACAACAACATCCATACCCTGCAGGTTACACAACAGTGAAGAGGATCTACTCACAGGAGACCTGGTGACTCACATGCCACAGCATGGCCACAGGCTCTTCAGTCACTGGCTCAGGCTGTGTTCCCACAGCTTATGGAGGGGATCATTTTAGATTTCTGACGTGATCAGAACGCTCATGCCTTCAGCACAGGCCTCTTTTCCCTCCATCTCCACACTCCCCAGTACTGCAGAAGGGCCATTAGTGTCTACCAAGAGCCAAAGCAGATGGCCACTATTCCACGCCATTGTCCTGGCACTTGGAGGGAAAGCGTGGCCTGCCTTAAAATTGCTGTTCCCAGGAGCCAGGACTGAGTGGGGTCTGTGGGACTTCTTGGATCCTTAGTGTTCAGCACTAGCTTCTGGCCAAACATTTCCCAAGGGGAAGCAGAATCAATAAACCTTTCACAGAAAACCCCATCATGGAAAACCAAAGCTACAGAAGTGCCCTCAGAGTCTCTCATGCTTACGATTAAGTCTCAGATAATACAATAATACCACATGCTGCATTTAATTGTGTGCTAAAAGCCTTAACTCAGGCTCTTAACGCTCCAGTATACCATGAAAGTCTTAGTGCTTGAGCCAGGGCACGATGAGAAGATATGCATTTACAATGGAGAGGGACCAGCTTGGCAGACTCTGGGCAGCTAGGGAAGAAGATGGCACACATTCACAGGATTCAGAGGGTGTAGGGGGAACACAGGCAGGTTTATTCTATATCTGCAGGGCCCAGAAATCATCCTCCCTGGCTGTCCAGCCTTTGTTTTAAGGGGGCAGTGATTCCTGAGGCCAACTTCCCTGGCCTTCAGAAGCTTAATGCTGATGGGATGAGGTTGTTCTCTTGCAGGCAAGGTACTCTGAATATTTCTCTGAAACTTCAAGCCTCAAAGGATGTGAGCCACTAAGAAAATAAACCCTGGAGTTCTTGACAGATCATATCAGAATGCCTATTTGAAGCAAGAAAGACAGGTATAAAAGCTAAATTCTTAAAAACCAGATTCGGGCTCAGTGCGATAGCACAACAGCTAGTCTTCTCCTTACATACACCGAGATCCCATATGGGTGCCGGTTCTAATCCCGACAGCCCTGCTTCCCATCCAGCTCCCTGCCTGTGGCCTGGAAAAGCAGTCGAAGATGGCCCAAAGCTTTGGGACCCTGCACCCACGGGGGAGATCCAGAAAGAATCCTGGCTTTGGATTAGCTCCTCTCCGGCCATTGTGGCTGCTTGTGGAATGAATCATCAGACGGAAGATCTTCCTCTCTGTCTCTCCTTCTCTCTGAATATCTGCCTTTGTAAATACAAAGAAACAACTCTTAAAAAAAAAAAAAACCCAAAAACCTGATTCAAGGGTGTGTGTTTGGCATAGTACTTACTATGTTGCTTGGGATGCCCACATCTCTTGAGGGAGTGTCCCAAGTTTAAGTCTCTGTTCTATCAACTCTGGTTTCCTGCTAATGTGACCCTAAGGTAGCAGGTGTTGGTTCCGGTCTTTGCCATCCAAATTGGAACCTGGAATGAGACTCTGGCTCCTGGCTTGGGCCTGGCCTAGCCCCAGCTGTTGGTGAGTATTTAGGGGATGGAAGATCTGTCCATCTATTTCTGTCTTTCAAATAAATAAAAATGAATAATACTAAATAATAATGAAAGCCAAAACAGACAGGGCAAGAGTACTGTGATCTGCAGTCAGTTCTTTCCTGAGCACATGCCAAGTAGCGCTGCTGGGAATCTGTGAGGCCAAGCTTCAAGTCTCTGTTTAAATCTTGTAACTCAGCTTCCAAGTACAACATGAAGCTGCTGGTGGGGAAGAAGAGAGCTGAGTGGTGACCTACGAAACCTCATCTGCTGAGACTGACAGTGGCTGGAACCAAGAGTTACCAGTACTCCAGCCAAGGATCACTGGATGATCACATGAGTAAGGAAAGACATACTGGCAGCCATGGGCATTTTGAATTTTCTAGCTGGGGAGAGAAATACGATTGAGAAACTGTGAGCCAAATGGTTCCCAGCCATTTTTGAACAACAGCAAGGTATTCTTTTGGGTTTAGGGAAAGGCATCCAGCAATGTTCCACAACCCAACTGCCTAACTTGGGACATGGTGGGGATTCTTGTCATTTCTTGTGCTAATCACAGCTAATAAGCCTACTGCTGGAGCTTCCAAACAGAAGGACAGCTTCCTTCCTAGAGGTCATCTCTCTGTGCTCTTTTTGGGGAGCTGCTGGAGAAGTCCAGAAACACAGCATTCTGCAGGAGGTCTCAGAGACCACTGTTGCTGAGATTATGAATTCCATAACAAACTCGGCCTGAGGTTCTGAGTCTCAGAGGGTTAAAGATGGTCACTGTAAGGTGGTAACTCTTCCTTGGCTACAAGAGTGTGTCCTGGCACCTTCACATTTAAGAGTGAGGTATTAGGATTAGTAAGTCTAACAACAAGGCAAGGTAAAACTAAGTCACTTGGAAGGGATGCACATGTGAGCCAGAGAAAAACAGACACAGTGAAGCACAACACCACTTTCCTCAGCTTTGAGGATACTTCTTGAGCTTTTGCTTCTGAAGAGGTGATAAAGAGGTTCAAGTGAGTTCTCACACCTGTCTATATTTCATTGTCAACAGAAAGAGCAAGAGGCAGACAAAAGGATTACATGTCATTTACTTTCCAATTTTTGATGGTAAAATGACCAATGTATAGATTAGAAGTGTTAGGACATTCTTAACAAAAAATATGTAGAAGAGACAACAATCTATGAAATGAAATCCCTCCAGGCTCTCAGGAAGTAGCAGTCCACAGTGAAGGAAGGGGTAAGTGAAAGCCAAAAAAAAACTTTAATGCAGGCTCCACTGGGACTCACTCATGAATATGCAACAAGTATATTTATGGCCTTCCCTACACACCTCCTTCTTATTCTCTGCTAATCCAAAGACAGGACTACCTCACTGGGCCTTTTAGGCCTTGGCATGGGACAGCAGCTACAATGATTTCTCTGCATGGGCAAAAATGGGAAATGGGCATTGAGAGGAGCTGTCCCATAGTGGTGAACCTGAACCTGGATCAAAGGAAAGCAGAGAATAAACTCAGTGAGACAGTCCAGGGAGGGAGTGGCTCGTGGGAATATAGGCCAAACACACACACATGCATGTATACAGGAGCGCTTTAACGACTTCTTGTTCCATTGCAGTGAAGAGAGCCCCACAAACCTCTACCACAGAGCTTACCGGAATCTGCTGGATCTCTCCTGTGTTGGTGATGATCTGCTGCATCACTTGCATTGTCTGTCCGGTGCCACTCTGGGCCTGCTGGGCTTGACCCTGGGGTTGCGCCTGAACAATCTGCACTTGTTGGCCTTCTCCAACTTGCATTGTCACAGGTGTGGTCTGGAAGGAAAAGTCAAGAGAAAGTGGCCTGAGTTCTGGCTCTGAATCCTCAGGATTTCCAAGAGACCAACAATGAGCAGTTACCTAGAAGCAAACCCCCTGCATCAACAGCTAAATTCATTTCATCTTAACACTGATAATATGACTCAACTAGCAGTCCTCTGGGTTTAGAGCACTGTGAAAGACAATCCTGAAAATGAAATATGGGAAAAATAAGCCTGATTTTTAGGCTCCTAGTGCACAATACACCCTGGACCCCACAATTTCTATGCTTAATTCTATAAATCATGTTTCCTTTGTTACAATTTTTCATACTCCCTTCTATATGGTAAGACACACATAGTATAGACAAAATCACGATAGCTCACTTGAGAGATGCCCAAAGCCAAGACTGGAACAGGTGAAATTGAAGGGCAAACTAACTGGAAAGTGAGATCAGTATAAATTTACTAAGTTCAGGGTCTGAAGGCATTTTCTTGGGCACACAAGACCCTGGGAGGAAAAGCAGCATACAGGCTTGTCTCTGAGGCTGGGTTGAGGGTCCACCAGCTTTCATCCCTGTTCATGCAGCACGGAGACTCATATTCGTACAGCCACCCTGGACCACAGCATGACTTCCTATACAGACATGAATGCTACTAAGACACTAGATACTACCAACATCTGGACACCTAAGTGAGCCTACCTCTAATTAACAGAATTTAAAAATGCAAGAACTTGGGCCTGGCATGGTACCATAGCAACTAGTTTTTGCCTTCCATACAGCAGGATCCTACATGGGTACCAATTCTAACCCGGTGGCCTAGCTTCCCATTCAGCTCCCTGTATGTGGCCTAGGAAAGCAGTCGAGGATGGCCTAAAGTCTTGGGACCCTGCACCCACGCAGGAGACTCGGAAGAGACTCTGGGCTCCTGGTTTCAGATCAGCTCAGCTCTGGCCGTTGTGGACACTTGGGGATTGAATCAATGGATGGAAGCTCTTCCTCTCTGTCTCTCCTCTTCTCTGTATATGTGACTTTCCAGTAAAAATAAATAATACATAAAATACATCTAAAAAAAAAAAAGCAAGAACTTGAACCTTCTATAAATGATTGCATCAAACCAAAGAAATTTTCATCTAATGCATTTGACTGGCAGATTCTGTGTCTCACATACACTTCATAGATTGCAGTTTTAAGAAGCTTACTCTTTTCAGAGATGATGAAGAGCTGAACTGCCAAAAGGACCAATTATTCCTTCAAATCTCCCAACTCTGATCTAGTTGGAACTTTACAGTTTACCTGTAGAACAGTGAGTTCCCCATATCTGACTTGATGGTAGGGATGGACCTAAATCCTGCTCCAATTGTTCATGGTGTCTCTCAACTACAAATTCAGAATCACCTCAACAGGGGCTAGTATTGTGGCACAGTGGCCTAAAGCTGTTGTCTAAAACACTGTCATCCCATATAGGAAAACCAGGTGGTGTCCTGGCTGCTCTACTTCTGATTTAACTACCTGCTAATGGCTTGGGAAAAGCAGTGCATGATTGGCCAAATGTTTAAGCTTCTACCATCTACACCAGAAGAAACCACTGGTAGAAATGAATATAAACTGGGTTAGGGTAAGGAAGAAAGGTTACATTCCTTAATAAAAGCTCTTGTAATGGGATAGGACAATAGGCAATTTTCCTTCCTTGAAAAAAAAATTATTGGAAAGGTAGATTTACAGAGAGGAGAGACAGAAAGGTCCTCCATCTGCTGGTTCACTTCCCAAATGGCCAAAATGACTGGACCTGACTGATCCAAAGGCAGGAGCCAGGAGATTCTTTTCCTGTCTCACACAGAGGTGTAGGGTCCCAAGGCTTTGGGACAGTCACTGTTTTCCCAGGCCATAAGCAGGGAGGTGGATGGGAAGTGGAGCAGCCAGGACATAAATCAATGCTCATATGGCATACTGGCACTTGAAGGGATAGGATTAGCCAATTGAGCTATCATATCGTCCTTCTCTTCCATTCATAAACCAGTTCTCAGCCTATCCCCCACCTCCAAAAGTAATTTTCTAACTTTGCCATTAAAACACAGGATGTGTTTTAGTAAAATATGCATTCCTTCAACTCTGGCTTGGTTTGTGTTACATACTACAAAGGACACGTGCACTCAGCTTGCACTAGCCGTCACTACAGGCTGAGGCAAGCAAGACATAGCATTCTGAAGCAGCAGGACAGAACAACAGCAGCTTGGAGATGCTAGGAAAACCAACTTCACCATCCTCACGAGCCTTATCAGCTCCAGGCTGAGCAGGTCTGGGTTGGCAGAAGAGAAGAGATGAAATTCTGCCTTAAAAAAAAAAAAGAATAATGCATGCTGCCAACTCAAGTTGGGTTCTATAGCAACCCAACTTTCCCAAGAGGATTTCCAAGGTACTTCTAAATCATTCCAGGAAAATGAGGGCTTATGTTAGCATGGCAGCTGTCAAATCATGTATGGTGTACCCTGCTGTTGGAACACAACAGCCATGGATTTCTTAGGATGATCTGCCAATCAGAGCCAGCCCTTGGTCAGATTCCCTTGACGCTTACTATGAAAAGGGATAAAACCTTTGGCAGGCAACACTCTCACCACTGCAAAGACACAGGAATCAGCCAAGCACAGACCGCCAGGCATCATGGTGTGGTGAATGCCTTACAGCAGGGACTAAGTTGTGATCATGTTTGAGCCCCTTCACCTTGCACAGTGTATGGCACACAGCATGTACTCTATCAACTTTTGTTATATGGATAAAGAATAAACAAAGACTAAATCCTAAAATCATGTTTAAATCCTCTACCCCCTTGGAGCCAGTGTTGAGGGATAACCAGATAAGCTACCATCTGTGATGCCAGCATCCAATGTGGGCATCAAGTTCAGTTCCAGCTGCTCCATTTCTGAACCAGTTCCCTGCTAATGCACCTGAGAAAGAAGAGGAAGATGGCCCAAGTCTTTGGGCCTTCACTACCAACGTGGGAGACGGGGTATTGGGGAAGGAACCAGCGAATGCTCCCCTCTCTCTCTTTCAAACAAAACACATCTTTAAAATAAAGAGTCTCCGCTCCAATTTTTTGTTTGTTTTTGGGGCAAATTTACTGCCTTGCTGGAATATATAAGGCTACCCAGGATGCTTCACTGCCCATTTTTTTCTAACCTCCTGGGATGCTTCCTGATGCTAACTGTGCCTTTCTACCACCCTAGCACTGTTTCTCACCTTAACTTCCACTGTGCCCACTAAAACCCCTATTATTCTCTTCAGGAACCTTCTTTAGCCACTTCCTCTTCTACCATCTCCATTACATCAGTACAAAGGTACTACCTTTGATATGTTTCCCTCTAACCCCCTGATCTTTAAGATTTAAGACAATTTTACACATCCCACATGGTGGTGTTAGCATTTTAAGTTAGTTTATGAATTCCTTGAAATTTTATTCATGCTTGCATGCCCAATTCACAGCATAGAACAGTTGATGTTTGATGAATAAACACATTGCTGACTGACAGTATCTGGATTCTGCAGCTTCGTGACAACAAATATGAACAATACTGTTTCCAGCAGTACCAGTGGGGAGACAGAATCTTCTGGTTACCACTGTAAAGTAAATATGGTGGGAAAGAGAGATAATGAGAAGACTGAGACGTTTGCAAGCAGGCACTGTTGCTCACCTCTCCCTTCAAGGGTACAAAGTTCAGTTCTAAAAAGATACACAGAGTATGGGACAGGAGCCCACTCCGAGTGCCTTCCGTAGAGACTTCATCATTCTTCATGAGGGTAATAAAGCGAATCTTTTTCCTTCTAAAATTTCTGAGCCTACAGGGATCTGGGAGGACATCTGGATCGATGTACCTTCCTCTATTGAATCATGAGAACAGGGTCCAGTGAGATTAGGATGACATTTCAGCTCAGGGGCTGAGTCTAGGAAAAGCCCAGGTTTCCTGATTTTTATCCAGTGCCCTATAACGATCAAGTTCCCTCTATGCCAAGCTTTCCACAACCCAAACTTCAGAGCCACTGCTCACTAGCTGGGTGCCCTCAGCAGCTAGCTCACAGACCTGGCCCTGCTGAGGTTGTGCGATGATGATCTGCCCAGGCTGGATGGTGGTCGTGGAGCTGGTAGTCTGCTGGCCTTGCTGCTGGCCCTGGACCTGGACGGCTGTGGGCTGCTGAGCCAGCGTGAAGTAGTACTGGACAGGCTCGGCAGGCGTCACAGACTGGCGCACCTCCTCCTGTGGGGTGGAAAGAGAGGCAGGTAAAAGGAAAAGAACTGAGTCAGCAGCTGCCACAGTGAATTTCCACTCTTCCCCCATACAGGCTATGTGCACTAGCCTCCTGAATGCTGAGCAGTTCACATTTGAGCCAAAGGAAAGGGGAATTTGAAGAGACCAGTTGTGCTAAATCAAACTAAAAATAACAGATTCTGTAGGCTTCACAAAACATACAGCCAATTTTTTGAAGTACTGAGTAATGACCACTGTGTGAACTGCAAATGGGCAAATAATTACCGAAACTAAACACCACACCCCAGCAGTGTTCATCAGAAAATGCTGTGAGGGCCCATGTTCTGAGAACAGTGATAACTCTGGACGTTGAGAAGACATCACCCAGACATTACGTTTCTCAGGTGGCCCCAACTCCCACAACAGGCAGCATTCTTTTCGAATCCACTGCTTTCTGAGTGTGGAACATGGTGAAGGCAAATGGTCCTTCTCCTGGGTTCCAGTGTCAGAACCAAAACCCACAGGCCCAGGAGACAAGTACCCTGGTTTTCAGAGCACACTGAGAGCTCTGTGGTCATGAAGAGCCTGTCCTCCAGAGGTATATGTGGATCTGGCTGTGCTTAGCCACAAAAGTACAACACAGAGGCCCTGACAGATAACTCCCCGCTGGAGTGCTGCCTTGGCTGACTAGGGAAGCCACCTGCTGTTCGATTTGCCAAGCGAAGAGACAGCTCCTTCTTCAGTTGACGTTTTCCATGGCAGAAGGAGTAAACAACCCTCTCCCAGCCACCTTGAGCTCACAGCTGAGAGTGTAGGATGTTTACACACACTACGGCATGGTTACAGGCTGAACAGTCTGGGGTCGGTCAGCCCCTGACCATGGACAGAGATCGGCGTCTGATCCGGAGAGATCTGTCACCCACGGACAACAGATTTTGCCTGAGACAACAAAAAAAGCAAACACATACAACCACTTTGGCTGCCCAAGTTAAAATATAAGCTCATTTTACTCATTTCCTTGCTGTGGGCTGTTTGTCAGGTCCCATAAAAGAACAAAGCATACTTCTCCAAGGTACGGAGGCCCTGCTGCCTGCTGTTTAGCTCCCAGATATTGCTGACTCTACCTCCTTACTAGGTTAGGTGCCTTGGGCCAAGTTTCCATAGCACTTCCCGCTCCCTTTTTAAAAATAATTTTATTTTATTTTTAATATTGTTTGCATAGTTGAGAGGGATATATACCCATGTGGGCCTCTAGTTAGGGTGGGGAGGGTTGAACTATGGAGCAAAGTGGGTGGGACAAATGTTTTTAGTTCTTTTCTTTTTTATCTCCTGTGTCTGCTGAGGGAGAAGGGGTCCAAAAGCTGGGGATGGGGGATGGTCATCATGATGACACCTGAGAGACCCCGATGTGGGGAAGAATGCTCCAAGGGTACTTCTTGAGTGTCCTGACAGTTCTGAGACAATGTCAGCTTTGCTGCATCAGGGTTGAGAATATCTTTTCAAGGTCTACTGGCTGGCCAAGTGCACCTTGGTGCAACCACAGACCCAAACACTTGTTGCAAAGCTTAGCCGGAAGAGTTGTCCAACTTGTTCTGCTGTCCATCCTCTCATGAGGCACTCAACATCTGCTGCTGGCCTGTAGGAGCTGGCTGCCATGTGGACAGCATTTCCCTTATCACACACATCCAATTCACTGCTTGTGCTGCTGCCAACATAAGCCCAGCTCCTTCGTTCCCTACTGCCCCTCTCCCATTCCCACAAAGGCACTCCAGGAGTACAGGGGGTGCTTGCCAAGTGATGAATGAATTTATACAGACAGGCAGAAAGACAGAGATACTACTTTCAATCCAAGTTGGTGGCAGGACAAAGTCTCCTGAACCACAGCTTTCACCAGGGGAAAAGAGCCCCTAAACTCTTTCTGTTGGGAGCACCCTAAGCTGGTGCTCCCAATGGAATGGGAGTGTGTATTCTTTTGCTTGCCTGGTAACTGGAGGGTTCAGACACTAAAACTAGCACTGCTGCTCTTTAGCTTCTGGAACACCTTGGTCTCTGCAGGACAGGGTTTCCTGAGGGCCTTAGCCAGCTTACAGACAAACTTCTAAATTGTTTTTAACCCTCTACCTGACACTGCTGAATCAGAAAGGGATATTCCCCTTCATTTTTATTTAGGTTTCAAAATTTCCAGAGCAACTAAACAGTATCAGATCCATTTCAACAACCCCCTTTTCTTCGCCCCCCCAGGTCTCTCACGCGGGTTGCCAGGATTTCAGCCACCCAGTCGTGTTCTTTTTTTTTTTTTTAAGATTTATTTATTTTTATTACAAAGTCAGATATACAGAGAGGAGGAGAGGCAGAGAGGAAGATCTTCTGTCTGATGATTCACTCCGCAAGTGAGCGCAACGGCCGGTGCTGCACCGATCCAAAGCCAGGATCCAGGAACTTCTTTCCAGGTCTCCCAGGCGGGTGCAGGGTTCCAAAGCCTTGGACCATCCTCAACTGCTTTCCCAGGCCACAAGCAGGGAGCTGGATGGGAAGTGGGGCTGCAGGGATTAGAACCAGCACCCATATGGGATCCCAGTGCGTTCAAGGCGAGGACTTAAGCCACTAGACCACACCACCGGGCCCTCAACAACATCTTACCATGTAAATAAAGGTCAGCCTGCAGTAGGGACAAAATAGTGATAACCTCTTCAACCAAGGAGCGGTGGGCAACTGTCCTTTTCAAATCTGCTTCAACAGGTCCAATGAAGACATTTTCCACTGAGAACCCCCTCCCTACTTTATAAAAAACACAGACTGCTACAGTTCAATCCTAATTTAGAAAAGCCCTTGGGTAATGAGAGGTGCAGAGGAACAAGAGCCCCAGATCCACGTCTCTGAAGTTAGGGAGTAGGACATATCTGCACTTCCCAGCCTTGACCTGTGACTTTTCTGTCTCCAGTTATTTCTAAGTATGGCTGATTTAGCCCCAGGTGCAGCCTTTTTATCAGACAAAAAGCAAGTTCTATGGTTAGTGCCATGCTATGCCTCCAACTACAGTGCTAGCATCTACTTCCAATCCAGTTCCCTGTTTGTGGCCTTGGAAAGCAGCAGAAGACAGGTTAAATTCTTGGGCCCATTATCTATGTGGTAAACTTGGATAGAGATCGGAGCTCCTGGCTCCTGGCTTTGGATCAGCCTAGCTCTGGCCATTTTAGGCATTTGAGGAGTGAACCAACACATGGAAGATTCTCTCTCTCTGTAATTCTGCCTTCTAAATAAAATTAATTTTTTTAAAAGCAAACCTTTTAAGTATCTCTTGGCAAAAGCTGTGAGGGTAGGTGAAGAGTTTCTCTTTTTTGCTTACTGTATCTCCTCAGTTTGTGAATAAACCAGGCACATCTGGAACACCGATTACCAAGCAGAGGTCCCTAGATATGTGCTGTGAGGACCAAGTATGACTGTTGTGAAATCTATGACAGAAAGAGACATACTGAAGTCCTTCTGTGTCATGAACAGTCACTATTCTGCCAGGAAAGTTCGAGCAAGCAAGAGCATGATCATGCTTGATTTAAAGAAATGAGTGAAAGACAATGACACTACAATGGGTAGGAACTTTCAACTCAGCTTTAGTGAAGTCAGGCCATTCTATAGTCAAACAGAATCTAAAAAACAAGTGAAATTTACAAATACCTCACAAATAACTCTTGAAAAGTGAAGGGCCTTAAAGCCACAACTCAGTAATACAGGCTAATTCCTTTCCCCGAAATAGATTACACCAAATGTAAGAACAACCCCTGCAGGACTGGATCAATCCAAAAGAGTGTATCTGCTCGGCCTCAGTGGTGATCCCCCCAAAAGAGGGCTTGCTCTTGAAGTCTTCTCAAAAGCTCAGACTGACACAGGGCCAGGCAATAAGCAGCATCACATCTCAGGGCCATCGCTACAATGTGGTGCAGCCAGTCCAGACTGAAAATGTGCATTCATTTCAGTAGCCAAGAATGAACTGCTGTCTCCTTTAGAAGGGGTGAGTTTTGGAGAGTAGGCACTTTTAAAGGACTTTAGGGAGGTGCCAGCCAATTTAGAGCTTGGGAAAACTTGATGTCCACAGAGGATTAAAAAATGCTATCCTAGAATTTCATGCCAGCTTGCAGCACTCTCAACTTCTCAAAGGCCAGGCAGTGACTGCCCCGAATAGGATGCCAATCAATAGCTTGAACACCTACAAAGAACTAAATCCAGGCAAGGAGCTGCTTCAGCTAGATGCCTTTTCCAAGGAACTAACAGTCGTTTGCGTGCAGGAAGGATGGAATAAGGAGCTGTCTGACACCCCAAGAGCCAGAGGTATTAGGGGCTCAGGAGGAAGGCACAGGAAAGGGTCCCTCTTTTTAGCCGATCTATCCAGCAGGCAGCCCACGGAGAATAAAGAGTTAGGCATACTGAGTGGGAAAGGCCTGATTTCATCACAGTTTGTTGCCTAGTTTAAAGAGGGCTTCCAACAGACCTGACTGAAAAATTCTGATCATAGAAGCAGATGTGTGTTGTTATTTGCTTTGAACAAAGAGACTTGTCTGAGTTCTTATTGTTGGGACTGGAAGCACCCCAAGAGAAGGAATCAAGTCCATGGGCACAAACCTGCAATGATTCAAAGGTGATGATGCGCAGCTGGGGACGACTGTGGCAGCCTGCCGCTGTAAACATCCGACTGAAAGCTCCTCTGAACACCTTACAGCTTCCAGTCAAGGATGTTTACAGTAGCAAAGACTGCCCAGAAAGAATGGAGGTGCTCTAGCAGGAGATCACAGAGGGCTTATTAATCCCAAGGCCCGCATGCAGGGTCCCAATTGCACCTGTCAGTGACCATGTCCAGTTCTTTCTTTCTCTGCCTGATTATTAAATAAAATAGCATGGGGCGAGCGGCTGACAACAGATCACTCTAAGTATAATATACCATAAAATAATTCGCTAGGGAAATCAACACACAGTTCTCCACCTGTGAGATCTGTGTCACTACTTTCCAAGTGTCTCTGCTACACTCAATGAGTCACACAGTCCTTGTGCCTAAAACAATCAGCCAACAGGATAGTGGTCTATTGTAATTACAATGAACAGTTATGTGTATTTAAGGTTCTGGGGGAAAAAATACAACACCCAGCTGATACACATTTTGGAGAGGGACAGGCAAAAAAGAGGGGAAGACAGACCCATTCTTTCTTGTGATTGCTTAGAAAACAGTTCAAATAGAGGTTTTCAAATTTGGTTGTACATTAAAAACATTTAGGGGGTGTTATGAAGCACTAACATCTGGGCCCCCGATCACAGAATCAATTCAGTGGACATGGGGTAGAACTGGCATTTTCAAACAGCAACAGATGATTCTAATGTGCAACAGGACACTCCATAGAGACCCCACAACAGAGAGTAAGATAACACAAGGTCTATCCACCCCCAGACACTACAAGAGACTGTTTCCTAAATATGTGAAACTTATAACACCCCGAAAATGTTCTATTCTAGATTAAAAGCTTGGACATATTTCTCGAGATTTTTAAATGAGCTTCATTATACTACCTATAATTTAACTTTAGTTTTCACTGAAATAGCACCTTAAAGGAACCAAGTTGAAAGTCTCCACAAGTGAAAAACAGAATGCAAGGTGGTCTTCTTGCAGCGGCAGCAGCAACACTTTTCTGGCTTACCTGACGTTTTGGAGGTTTCAGTTCATCTCGTGGAACAATGTCAATGAGAAAATCAAACTGATCAAATTTGGTGATTGCCATGGCAATATCATTCCTCTGTAACAAAGAAAAATGGAATGAAAAGTAAGCCTGGGGAAAAACAAGTTCAGCTGCCTTCCTATCTTCCAAGATAAGACAACTTGTAAGTTAAATTAAATACTTATGGCCAAGTCTAGCTGAATTAAGCATAGCAAAACTCTTAGAAACTTAAGAAATCAGAATCACTTGACAGACAAGAACAAAACACACACACACAGATACTTAAGGCAGCTTACACTGTAAAATACAGTAATGTCAACTGGCAGTATCTGGCCATTCCATGGAGAGCAAGGTTGGGCTATTATTTAAATATATTCAGTCTTTCATAGGATCTAAATAATATTTTGGTCTCTGTTCACAGGCATTTGTAATCTGGTCACTGGATGTCTATTAGCTTCTACAAGAGTGTGAGTCTTGCTTTTTATACACAAAAACTGCAGCAATAAACTCCCAGTCTGAATTTGGTTAAATGTACATGAATACTGAAGTCTGAGGTTGCTGGAATACAGGCAGGGGGATAGGGAGACAACAAAAGAGTCACCTTAATAGTGACACTGAAATTAAGACTTGCTGACGAAGTTTACTCTAGAGACATGAATACTCCCTGTGAATAATAAAAGATTTTTGTTAAAAATCAACTTATTGTGTATACTTAAGATTTGTGTACTTTACTGAAATTTTTAAAGAAAAAAGAACAGGAAAAAAACAATGACTCCTAGTGAATGACAGGCATCTGAAGTGTACTCAAAAATAGATGACTTAGGCCCGGCTCAATAGCATAGTGGCTAAAGTCCTTGCCTTGCACACCTGGGATCCCATATGGGCACCGGCGCTAATCATGGTGGCCCCGCTTCTCAACCAACTCCCTGCTTGTGGCCTGGGAAAGCAGTCCAACACCGCCCAAAGCCTTGGGACCCTGCACCCACATGAAAGACCCGGAAGAGCTCCTGGCTCCTGGCTTCGGATTAGATCAGCTCCAGCCACTGCGGCTGCTTGAGGAGTGAATCATCAGACAGAAGATCTTCCTCTCTATCTCTTCTTTCTGTATATCCGCCTTTCCAATAAAAATAAATAAATCTTAAAAAAAAAATGGATGATTTGACAGGTAAAGGAACAGGTAGGTACAGGATCAATCTAGCAAATGCGACTGGTAGAATCTGGGTGGTTAAGTATATAGAAATTCACTGTAAAGTCTGCTTAAATTTGAAATTTTTCATAATCAATGTTTAAGGGAAAATAAGCAAATAGAAATCTTTATTATGCCCTATATACCACACCTTAAGAGAAAGTGACTCATCAGACAAACAGAAGGGGATGGAAATTTTCTGTTTTTTCCTTCCTTTGTATCTATAATGGCCCCAAGCCACTGAAATACAAAACTCCAATCTACCCTTCTTGCCAACCACCAGCTTGATAATAAACCCTCCCAACCAAAACAGGACACATTAAGACTGCCAAGGACTCATTCAGGATGAGTATAATATGGTGTTACATTCTTGATGACGTCACCTACTCAAGCTATCTAAATGAAGGGGAAAGAAGAAAACAGTCATCAGCTCCATACATCAAAATGCTCTATTCTAGAAACAGATAAGCAGCTCATTCTAGAATTTTTGTCTTTTCACTGCTGATGTTTTACCAAGTTACAACTCATCTTCAGTAAAAAATACACAAATCTTAAGTACACAGTCTGATGAATGCTGAAAATTGCAAGCACCCAGGTGTGTAACACTCAGGTAAGAATACAGGAAGATCCATTTTAACTTTTTCCAGTCAATATTCAAGTCCCTTATCCCCTTAAATTTGCAGTAACCACAACTCTGACCTCTTTCACCACAGATGGCAGGTAGTATACAGTATTGTGCATTACATAACTTTCCACTCTGCTTTTTTTTGCGTTACATATTTTTGAGAACCATCCATACTGTGTGAAGCTATCACTTGCTTCTATTTACTATTAAGCAGTAATCTATTTCATGAATATATCATATCTCTATACTGATGGATGGTTGAGTTGCTTCCACTTTTAGCTATTGTAAATAAGCTTCATATGAAGATTATTATGTAAGAATGTCCACACTTCTTTTGGGTGTACACCTAGAAGCAGATGGTTGCACTGGGTCACACACTGGTGCATAGGTATATGCTTATTTTGATTACAAATTGCCAAACAGTTTTTCAAAGTTATTACACCACTTTACATTCTGACCAGCAATATATAAATTTCAATAACCCACTTCCTCTTCAACACCTGGCATTATCCATCATCTTTATTTCTGAAACAGAGTAGGTATAAATTAATATATCATTGTGGGGCCCGGCAGTGTGGCCTGGCGGCTAAAGTCCTCGCCTTGAACGCCCCGGAATCCCATATGGGCACCGGTTTTAGTCCTGGAGGCCCCACTTCCTATCCAGCTCCCTGCTTGTGGCCTGGGAAGGCAGTCGAGGACGGCCCAAAGCCTTGGGACCCTGCACCCAAGTGGGAGACCCCGAGGAGGTTCCTGGATCCTGGCTTCAGATCGGCATAGCATCGGCCGTTGTGCTCACTTGGGGAGTGAATCATCAGACGGAAGATCTTCCTCTCTGTCTCTCCTCCTCTCTGTATGTCTGACTTTACAATAAATAAATAAAATCTTTAAAAAAATATATCATTGTGACGATAATTTGTACTAACCAGATAACTGATGAGACTGTACACCTTTTCACATGCTTACTGGAGATTTGGATAGCTTCTTTTTGGAAAAACTATTCAAGTGTCTTAGTCATTGTACATTTTAAGCTGAACAGATCTTGAAGGTAGTATTAATTAATCATTCTATATCCACAGATTTACTTAAAAGCAGCATAAGTTCAACACTTTAGAATGCCTATCCATTTACTAGAGTTCAATTATTATTTTAGAGAGTTTATTTCGATGGCAATGTGTGCGTGTGTGTGTGTACGTGTGTGTGTGTGTGAGAGAGAGAGAGAGAGAGAGAGAGAGAGAGAGAGAGAGAAATCTTATAACTGCTGTTTCATTCCCCAAAATGGCTGCAACAACCACCATTGGGCAAGGCTGAAGCAAGGAGTTTCCCACAGGAGGGCTAAGTACCTGGGCCATCTTCTACAGTTTGGCCAGGTACATGAGCATCCAGGATTTAAGCTTAAACTAGTTCCTACATGGGCTGTTGGTACTGGAGGCAGCAGCTTAACTTACTGAACCACAATACCAGCCCCATTATTATTACTTTTGTTAATGCATAAAACTTTCAGATATAGTAAAGCACCAGTTATAATGCCTAAGTACACTAAAGGTTTCCCACAGGTGTGGGACTTCATCTGTGCATTGTTAACCTGAGCTTAGACCAGTGCTTGGCGCTTGGCAATATTCATTAATATTTACAGAATAAATTAGTAAACTCATGTGCTTTCAACTTCATAGGTAAAAGGAAATTAGAGGAGAACTTAATTTACTTTCTTGTTAAAATATCTGTTTTGTATCTATGGCATCCCTCTTCTTCTATCTAGGACCTTTCCTCCAACAGCTCAGGCCTGGATGCTGAGGGGAGGGCTCCTCAAGCCAACCACCAAGGGCTCTATATAAAATGTGAATCTTGCAATGCTGAGTTAAAACAGAAAACAGACAGGATTCCCAGAAAGGCAGGCAAGGAACAGAAAGGCTAATAATGTTAAGAAGACTGTTGATTCTTCATGGCATTGTCCCGTCTGAGTTTCTCAAGGCTGTTTAGATCAGGAAAAAGATAAATTCTCTATCACTAATCCTCAGTTTACAGTCAGGATTCACAAAGCAAACAGCTCAGTCACTGAGCTCTGAAAACCCTAAGAGAATGGGAAATGAAGATGCTTGGTAGGGAAACACTTTAGCCACAGCTATAAAGTATGCTGGCCTTTCAGCAACAGAGGAAGATGCCAATCACACAATAGCCCAATGGAGGTCAAAGCAAGAACAGACTTTGCTCAGAGCCATGCAAAACAAGCAGCCAAAGCTGCCTCAGCTTTTTCCAGTGAGGCAGCAGTATTACCTGTAGAGTCCGGCGCTTGTTGTCCTCCGTGTGAATCCAGGCTCGCAGAGTCAACTCCGTGATAAAGATTTGGGCTGCCTTGGCAAACAGCACAGGAGCTTCTGCACTGATCATCTGCAACAGATGCAGGCCCTCTCTGTCAATCACCAGCAAGTCACTCAAAGCAGGCAGTGTATCTCCTGCCTCATGGCCTACCATGGGACCACATCAGAAAATCAGATGTGGTAGCCTCAAGAGATTCCAAGGTAAAACAAACCAATGAGTAGGGACAGAGTTAGTAATACAGAGAATCAAAAGGGAAGAAAGAATTCTTACTTACCTAGCACCTACCATATGCCAGGCTGTGCAAGGTGTTTCCTTACTCTCAGAATAGCCTTTCAAAGACACTAAGGTATGGGAAGGATAAAGTGACTTGCCTATGGCCACAGGGACAGTAAGTGGCATGGTTGAAGTTCTAATCCAAGGAGAAACAAACAGGGGAAAGGTATTGACCTTTAGGTAAAATCTCTTTCCACCTTTTGTTTCTCATACATTGAAAGTAAATAAATAAATAAATGAACAGACATACACCCCCCAACCATGTTACTGTGGGGATCAAATGCATCCAGCACAGTGTCTCACGTGTAGTATGTGCTCAAGCAATGTTAAGCTTCCTCAATTCAAGCAGGAATTTGGCCTACTGGTTAAGAAACCATTTGGGATGCCTGTATCCTATATTAGAGTACCTGTCTGAGTCATGGCTCTGCTCCCAACTCATTCCAATGCGCATCTAGGAAGGCAGAGGTGATGGTTCAAATAACTGGTGCCTTCACACCCATATGGGAGACCAGGACTAAATTCCTGGCTCTGGCCTTTGATCCCCCACTTTGTTTTTCTCTGCTTTTCAAATAAATTAAAATACCCACTCACAAGGTTTCTGTGAAGTTGAAAAAAGGGAAAATTGTTATGAACTATTAGCTTTGGTACAAATATAAGTGATTGTTAATTTTCAGTGGTAAAGAGACAGGGCTGTTCTTTCCCTGAGAATCCTAGGAATGCAGAAACAGTCAATCCTAAGCCAACCCTCTCAACCATAGTTCACTCATGAGGAACAAATTCACAAAGCAAAAGTTTAAAACAGGTGCACTATCATTATCAAAACCTTTCTGCAACTTTGATCAGTGAACTAGACTGCAGCAAGGTGCTAAGGTGATGACACTGCCCTGCAGATCTGAAGACACAAGTCTACACACTATGAAAAGAACTGGGCAGTAGCACCTGATTTCAGAAACACTCGACATCTTTTCCACAGTTGGAAACAATCAGGATAGCCCTAATTTTCAGATAAGTACCATATAATAAATCAAAACCATTCAATTCTGGCCCTTGAACTTTAGACAGGAACCAAATAAAAAAGCAACACACAAAGCAGCAACTTTGCTATTGTTTAATTAAAGCTTGAACTCTAGAGAAATGAGCAACAACCTACTCAACACTTCAATTTGCAAAATAAAAATCAATGTGAATTCACCTTCACATCTTCATCCAGCTTCATAATCTTCTTAATACGAGCCAGTGGGAGTTCCTGCACTCGGAAATCTTTCTGAAACAAGCAACAAGAGCTGCATGAATGGTGGGACAGTTGAGAGCAGAGAGACACTGACTGGTTTAAACCTTCCTTTCAGGAAACACAGCACACCAGGAGGTTTGGATACAACAAAGAAAATGCAAGCTCTAGAGCAAAACTCCTCTTTACTTAACCCATACAAAAGTTCAAACAATTACAGAAAGAGTTTTAAGAAAAACCAAGGATGGTTTCCACTGGACCCGTCAGGAAAGGCAGCCCCAAACCGTTTATCGTTAAGGCCAATAGAGCAGCCTACTGCAAGGACTTCACTTCCTCACAAGTCTGCCAGTCTGCACTATGCAAATTCAAGTCAGATTTCTGCCTCAAAAGCATTCCTCTCTACTGCCAGTTCTTTGTTCTCCTCAGAGGCTAGAAGGGCAAAGGGCAGCAAGCTCTTGACCACAGTGGCCCACAATTTCTTCAGTTAGCGGGATTCTGGCCATGTGTGACCTTCACACAGGCCTGACAGCAGAAACTTGGGAGCGGCCCCTTTCTCATTACAGCTGCAAAGTCCTGGTCTCTAAGACATGTGTCAGGACCAGGGAGGGGAAGGGATGGAAAAAAGAAAAAAAAAATGAGGGTGAATTTCTCAGCTGCCTTTTAGGAAGTCCTGCTATTTTTTCCATAACAAATAGGACTGGATTGAGGGGAAACATGAAACTGCGCTATGGATGGGATTTAGCAAAGGGCTTTTTTGATCTTCACTACTTAATTATGTACGACGTAAGACCTTTCTGTTTTATTTTGCAATGACTGGTATTTAAACACATGCCCAGTAATGGATGCAATTCTAGAAACAAAAATCAATTTTGAGTTTCAGAGCTGCAGTGAAGAGAAAGGCACAAACACAAGACTATGATCGGCAAGCACAGAAGGATTCTGTCGGGTGGCTGAGACGTCACTCACTAAACTGCACACGCTCACCTGGGAACCTGCACCATCACATTATGGAAGGAGCGGCTACTATTTCAGACTGGATGTAATTAATAAGAATAAGTGAACTTTTTCCCTAGGCCAAAAGAAGGCATTCTGGAAAAATATCTGGATAAGAACAATATTTAGGATCAATGTACATTCAGACATCTGATTTTTTTTCCACATAAATTCAACAAGTGGTTTGGCTACTACTCAGCTCTACAAACTTAAAACACCAAATTCTTATCTTTTCCTTTCCAAAACAGGTATTAACATTTTTCATGAACTTCTACCAAATTATCCTGGAGTGGCAGAGGCACGCTAGCCCCAAAAAAGACAGCAGGACATATTTTTTTCTGTTCTTACTTTTCTCTTCCTGTTTCATTAACATCATACAATTCAACTAATATTGAACGTATGATATCTACTACTGTGTGAAAGATGCAAATCTGGGACCAGAGTCATGGTACAATATATTAAGCTGGCGCCTACAAGGCTAGCTTCCTGTTATTAGAGAGCTGGTTCAAGTCCTGGCTGCTCTGTTTTGGGTCCAACTCCCTGGTACCTTTCCTAGGAAGGCAGCTGAAGACGGCTTCGACTACCTGGGTCCCTGCCACCCATGTGGGAGACCAGGATGGAGTCCTAGCTCCCTGTTAATGCACCTGTGAAGCAGCAAACGATGGCTCAGCCACTTGAGTCTTTCAAGCTAGTCTCCTGACTTCAGCATGGCTCAGCCACGGCTTTTGTGGCCATTTGAGGAAATCTTCCATTTGATGGAAGGTTTATTTCTCTGCTTTTCAAATAAATTATTCTTAGAACATTTCAGTGCCCAACCTATGCTAGAGGAAAGGACAAAAAGAAGGCACAAGTGCAGGTAGTGTTGGGCCTGAGAGAGAGAAGTATTTACAGGGGGAGCTCAGGACAGCTGAACTATGTCTAAGGGATGCTGAGAATCTGTTGAAAAACTATGAAACCATGATTCTGATACAGGAACAGTGAGCACAGAAGCTCAGGGACAAATACAAATCACATGGTCAGGCCCAGCGCAGTAGCCTAGTGGCTAAAGTCCTTGCCTTGCATGCACCAGAATCCCGTATGGGCACCATTTCGTATGCTGGCTGTGCCACTTCCTTTCCAGCTTCCCGCTTGTAGCCTGGGAAAGCAGTAACTCCGCCCAAAGCCTTGGGACCCTGCACTCACATGGGAGACCCAGAAAAAGCTCCTGGCTCCTGGCTTCAGATCAGCTCAGCTCCAACTGTTGCGGCCGCTAAGGAGTAAACCCAGCAGATGGAAGATCTTTGTCTCTCCTTCTCTGTAAATATGCCTTGCCAATTAAAAAAAAAATCTTAAAAAAAAAATCACATGGTCTACACCAAGTTTTAGACTCGTGGCCCAAATGCAGAGGGAAACAGCAGGAATCAGGAAACTGGAATGGGGCCAGGTCCTAAAAGGATTTAGCAAAAGGTTTAATCACAGGAATCAGTCACTGGTCTTCTTGTGTGGCATATCACATACAATGATGATGCTACACAGACATGCCAAAGAGCATGCAGGAATAATCCCTTTGGAAGGCCTCCCGGGACGATGCACAGCACAAGATTATAACCATAGATTTAGCTCTCTTGCCTTGATTGTTTCACATAGTTTTCACAAGATTGCACAATGATTATTTAACCAAAGCCCAAAGCTGATTAAAAAAAAAAATCTTTCCCCACACAGAAAGAGTAACGCATTGTTAGTACTATGAGACTACTCTATCAAAAACAGTGTCTAGGATAAAGAAACACAACCTTGGGCCCGGTGGCATGGCCTAGCGCCTATAGTCCTTGCCTTGAACGTGCCGGGATCCCATATGGGCACCGGTTCTAATCCTGGAGGCCCTGCTTCTCATCCAGCTCCCTGCTTGTGGCCTGGGAAAGCAGTCGAGGATGGCCCAAAACCTTGGGACCCTGCACCCAAGTGGGAGACCCCGAGGAGGTTCCTGGATTCTGGCTTTGAATTGGCTTAGCACCGGCCATTGCGCCACTTGGGGAGTGAATCATCAGACGAGAGATCTTCCTCTCTGTCTCTCCTCCTCTCTGTATATCTGACTTTCCAATGAATAAATAAATCTTAAAAAAAGAAAAAAAGAAACACAATCTTGTAGAATTGTAAAATGAGTCAGAAACTTAGAAAAAGTTCTGCTTTAAACCCCCCGTTACTAAAATCTTTTGTTGTGAAACATTTTTTCATGATCCCCAAACTCTGTGATCTCAAGGGTCAGTGTATGAAAAATGGATCTTGTGGTGTGTTTGGGGCTCATCACTGCTAAGAATAATCCAGTTTCCTATGGTCTTATTCTAGCTTTTCCATCACATATAAGGGTTTACGAAAATTTTGCTGAAGAGGGGAGCACGCCTACTATCAGTCGCCTGAGATCCACTAAGCTGACTGTCAATTAACTGTTCCTAGGTCATTGGCAACCATGCAACTGATGTGGGTTTCACTAACACCTCTCCTGATGGCTGATTTAAGTGGAACGTCTGACATACACTGACTTTTTTCCTACTTTGGAGAGTGATAGCATAGAAGAGCAGATATTCTCATACTCCTGAGCTCAACTAAAGAACTACATTTAAAATGTTGCCATCTGAAACTGCCAACTTTGAAGAAGTTTTGAATTCATTCAGAGTTCAGAGCCAAAGAAAAGTCAATGGGTCTCAGGTTTCACCAAAAAACATCCAGTTTCAAATCATGTTAAAGAATCTTTTCCAAGCTTACCTAGCCAGGCACTAGGGCAAACAATAATGTATTCCTCTGGAAAGCAAGGACTCTCAGCACCCGGATGCATGCTTTTTTTGGTTGTTGCTCTCCCCCAGATCAACTAAATCACAAACTCCAGGGAGCAGGGTCCCCTGGTGATTTTGAACCATCACGAGAACTAAGGACAACTGCTTTTTTTTTTAAAAAAAAAAAAAAAAAGATTTATTTCTTTTTATTTTAAAGGCAATTTCACAGAGAGTGAGCAGAACTTCCCATGTACTGATTCACTCCCCAGATGCCTGCAATGGCCAAAGCGGAGCAGATTGCTCTGAAGCCACACGGCTGTAGGGGCCCAAGGATTTAAGTCATCTTCCACTGCTTTCCCAGGCAACAGGTAGGGCACTGGATTGGAAGTGGAAAGCTAGGACTAGAACTGGTATCCACATGGATGCCAGTGCTGCAGCAAGAGGCTTAGCCCACTACTCCATGGCACCAGCCCAGGATCTCTAGTCCTTACACCAGTAACAGCATTATCTAGGAACTCAAAGAAATTCAGTTTCCTGCTCCATTACAAACCTATTGAATCTTCATCACCATTAATTCATCTTAAAAACGATTTGCTTCATTTTAAAAAAAGATTATGGTGTTTTAACAGAGATGAAGAAGTATTCCATCCCTTGATTCACTCCCCAAATGAATGCAACAGCCAGGAATGGGCCAGATCAAAGCCAGGAGCCAGGAACTCCATCCATGTCTTTCATATGGGTGCAGTGGCCCAAGTACTGGGGTCATCTACCACTGCCTTCCCAGGCACATTAACAGGTAGCTGAACTGGAAACAGAGGCTTAACTCACGGCACCACAATGTTGGCTCCTATCTTCAGTACTTTAACAAGATTCTCCCTCCTGTGGCTCAGACAGACACTGCAGTTTGAGGTCACTGTGCTATAGGAACAGCTCACACAGAACATGTTAACAGTCCACCAACTTTTGCCACCAAGTTCTTTTTAAATGGTTATCTGATTTTACTGTAATGTTAGAAATGCCATTATCCAATTTGGAGGCACCAAGAAATGAGATGAAACTGCCAATTAACAAAAAGTAACTTAGGCATTAAATTACAGCTAATTAAAGGATGAATTGGTTGCAGGGAATAAGTTAGGGAAGAATTAGATTTTTTTAAAAGATTCAGCATATTTACTGCCTGCCTCCCAACCTGCAAAAAGACAAAGTAGCTTTCTCTTCCCCACTTGGAAAGGTCTGAAGGGTAAAACTCAATGCTCGGAAGCCCTTTACTTTTGTTTTCAGAGCTCTGCTGGA